TGTAAACTCAGAATGACAATAGTTACAAGTGACAAACAAATAAGGGCCATCGATGATAAGGAAACGATATCCCAAAGAAGACAATAACGTTTTCCCAGCAAACTACTTAGTTCAGCTGCCACATAAGTTGGTTGTAGAAAAGCAGTCACGCCAATGTCTGTGATGGCAAGTACGAAGAAGATCGTGTTCTGAATTGTTCGCAGACCAAGGTTACGATAGTACGCCATGATGACGAGACCATTGGCCAGTGTTCCAAAAACAGATAGCACAATATGTAAAACCGCGAAAACCGTTTTCGCAGCAATTATTTCCAATGTGGTTGCAAAATATATTTCAGCTGCGGTACATCTTAAAACCGAGGAGAATTGGAGTATCGAATCACTTGCCATTCTCTGTATTCGCTTTTGGTTTAATATTACAACTTAATCGGTTATTAATATAACTTACCGACTTTTTCCAACACACTAAACAAGAACAGAAGCTTTTACGATACTTAAACGTAGAAGTTATTAAGCAATCGAGGGCGCTTGCTGCAAGTAATTCAGTTCAAAGTGTAACATTAATAATGTTGTACACGTTAAACATTAATAAATTGTCCATTCATTGATTTATAATTAAAAAGCATGGGCGCCAGACACGTCAATTTAGAACTACTTGATATTAGACTTCCTATAATGTTAACCGCCATAATTATAAGAATAGTTTGATAAACAATAATCTACATGCAGTCGTTAAACAAGCAAGAGGGCGTCACTCAGGGACCGGTTGTTCAAAGGTGAGTTAACGCTAACCATGGGTTAAAAAAAACCTGTAAGTTGTTTTAGTTTGTGTATTTCTGCCCGTCTGTTTATTTCAGAACTTCAGAGAGGTAACTCCTATTGATCCAGACAGGATCTCTGAAGAAATATCTCCAATTTTATAGACAAGCTGTGAGGAAGTTTGATTTGAATCTTGTGTTAACCTGGGGTTGAACTATATAACTCAGCTTTGAACATGCTCCGGTATTAAAGTAAGAAGAACTCTAAACATAAGTGGCTGTATTTCAGACATATCCCGAGAGAAACAAGAAGAAAAAATCGCTAACATGATTTCTTACATTGCCGAAATTAGGCAACTGCAAAATTTTACATGCACGAAATATCCTATTTACAATTGCAATCTAAATTGAAAAAACTTATTTATTTCATGTTAGATAGTTCTCAGTGGCGTAAGCAAATCAGGCAAAGCAGCCTGGCCAATTGCGACATTTACTGTTGTTTTATTAGCCATGCATCGATGCCATGTCACAATATAATTACCATTGTTCACGTCAGCATTATTTTCACAGACACACACCTTTTTGTTAAAGGGTTAATACACAATTTGATTTTGGAATAGTTAAAGTGCATATGACATGAATTTTTTTATTTTCTTAAATGAATGAACTCTTTAAGTTGTAGCGTAACTTATTTTTCAGTTTCTTGTTTTTATGGTTTGTTCCCGAGATATTTCAATTTTTATTGAGTATAGACGTTCTCTGGTTAAAATACTTATTTTTCACAAGCTTTCGACTGTCAGTCTACAGTCTTCAGCCAACGTTTTTCGCTAAAGCCAGGGTACGCTTTTGTCGCAATGTACATCTAAATGAATTATATACGGTATACATAATGACGTAAATGACAGCTATACAAAATTATAGTGGCTATATGTTACATGGGAATGATTAGTAATGTTTATTGATAAGAAATCGATACTGTTCCGGTAAATGTTTTGTGCTGTTATCTGAACCCTTTGTGCATGCTGTGTGCCATGACTCGAGTATTTGTCTATGCTAGTATGTGCCTTTGTCAATAATTTTCCCGCCGTCAAAATCTATTTTGTGATCATTTACCCACGCATGGTTAGCAATGGTCCACAGCATATGGCGCACACAAAGGGTTCAGATAACAACTCAAAACATTTACCGGAACAGTATCGATTTCTTATCAATAAACATTAATAATTATAATCTTGTATAGCTGTCATTTACGTAATTATGTATACCGTATATGTAATTGTAAACCTCGCATCACTTTCATTATAATCTACCCGTTGAAGACTGTAGACTGACACTCGAAAGCTTGTGAAAAATAAACATTTTAACCAGAGAACGTATATACTCAATATGAATAATCCTGGTTTCGCATCAAACATATTTAAATATTTCAATTTGTTTGATATGTAAATGAGTGTGAATATGTCCGCTAATTTATGACGTCATGTTGGTTGCAAGCTCAACTTACACTGGTTATAAATGTATTAGCTCTAAAAACTGTTGATATCAGTTTACGTTTTTCTCCAGTGATTCATCACATTTACCAGTGAGTGAAGTTTGAAATTATCATCTTGGATGATAGCAGTGATATTCAACCATTTTGAAGAGCTTGCAACCAACATGACGTCATAAATTAGCGGACATATTCACAATCATTTACATATCAAACAAACTGAAATATCTCGGGAACAAACCATAAAAACAAGAAACTGAAAAATAAGTTACACTACAACTTAAAGAGTTCTTTCATTTAAGAAAATAATAAATTTTATGTCATATGCACTTTAAGGTCGCCATTTGAATGTTACTACAGGTTTAAATTAAACTAGGATATATTTATAGTATTTATACAAATCTTCAGAATATCTACTTTACACCATTAACTTGTATGAGGTATATTTTTCAGCACAAAATGGCCAAACTAAAAAAAATTATCGTGTCGCTGTATGGCTTATTCACATGAAGGTGGCTTATCAAAAGGGTGGCTTGCCAACAGTATTTGTATGTCCATACAGGCTCGGTTTGAAAAAAACAACAACCCAATTTTCCATAAATTACTGTAAGTCTGCTTGAAAATTATCCATATAAGAATTAAAAAAAAACATACTGCATGTGAGTTTGGTTGTCGTGTTTCACGTGTTCTTGGCTTGTCTTTATACACTTCAATGTTTTCATGAGAACATCATATTCATTTTTTTCTGCCCATGCATAGCTACAGTATACTGCATGCATGTCTTTTCGCTTTATAAAAAATATACGAGATTAATGCTCAAGTCTCAAACCGGATATTATCAGATTTGCAGAAATTTTACTCTGACAATATTCGCCGCTGACTCCGCATATCATGCATGTCTTAGATTCCAGTGAGACTACAGTATAAAGAATTCGAAAAACACTCTGGTTAAAATTTCCTGGTTAACCTAGAAATAGCACTATTTGGGCTAACCCAATATTCCTGATTAAATTTTCTGGTTATTTTATCCTAACATAGTCTGGTTAATGTGACCATGCATGGTTGTACTTGTCCAGAACCCGATATATAACAAGTCATCGCTACAGGGGCGTGCTGGCCAGGGCCAAGACAACGAGAACTCGTTGTGATCCTGGGCCCCTAAAATAAAAAACATTCAAATTTTTTCAAACATTGAGAATTTTAATTTTCAAAATCAAGCAATTAAGATACTGCAGCTTATATTGTAAAAATGAGGATTCGCGAAAATATTACGGAAGAATTTTCGTATGTGGGACCGAAAAATTACGATATGCCCGGAAAAAATTAGTATTTCCGGAAAATTGACGAAATGTCCGGAAAAATTTTTGCATTCCAGGAAAAAGTACGATATGTGCGGAAAATTTTTAGTATATCGGGGAATAATTGGCGATCTCCCCCCCCCCCACCCCAGCTCGCCAAGAATTTTTGGAAAAAATATTAATATTGAGCCATCATTCACTGGCCCCATCAGACGTTGCTCATTCGTTGTCTTTTTTAAGACGCCATCACGTTCATACATCGCTGTTACTAAGCAATAAATGCAGTACGTTTTGACGTAGTTTGCATCCTGCCCAAAAGTTACAATTAATTGCCAATCAAACTGCTTTGTTCAACAAAACTTGTGATGTGCAATTTCGCTCTGATATGAAACTTGCGATTACAAATTATATACCGCGTGCATCGTGGTCGTCTTAAACGAATTTGCGCTCCATTAAGTTCAATGACCAATATAAATTGTAATTTAAATTTGTTTCATAAGTAATAACGTTGCATTTGCTTTTCTTTATGAAGTGGGAAATCAAGATTGCGGGGAATAAAGATTCCGGATTTCCCGCTTCTCAGAATTGCTGCTTCCCTGAATTCCCGATATTCTCGATTCCCGGAATTCCCTATTCCCGGAACACAGATTTCCGGATTTCCCGTTGACACACTTGCCGTGTCCACAATATAAGATTATTCAGCGCTGAACACGTCAGCGGAAATAAAGTGGCAGCTATCGGATATTGAGAATTGTACACGGATTGTTAACATAACAAAGCATCTGAATGCATGTGAAAGCTACATTGTAAATGTACAGTATATTGTCAAAGATTGTATATCATATCTGTATCCATTTTTGTTTTACTACATTAGATAACCCAGTTGGTTTGACGCCAAAGCCATGGACTGCGCGTACGATTCCCTAAGTTAGAAGAAGCAACCACTTAAAGTGTCAAGTACTTTAATAATTATGCATTTTTGCTGTCCTTTGAAGATAAGTATTTATATAAATAAGTGCAATAACGCAAGAAATATTGCAAATCTCTCGACAAAAAGCATTATCTCGCATTCAATTTTCGTCAGAGAGAACGGCGTTCCTAACTAAAATTCTTCTGCGCTGGTAAAGCTGTGCTAACCTTATGGAATTAAATTCATACAATGGTAAATACAGTACAATATTTCCATGCAATCATATTACTGATATTCATGATCTTGTTAACTATGTCGACGGGCACCGAACAATCGTGTGATGTAAGTATCGAGGAGAGCAGTAAGCAACAGTTCATTACTCGAGCTAACGACCGAAATGTTGAGCTTCTATATACGCGTTTGCTGTTCGTAGATGAATCCAACACAGACAGATTCTCGTTTGGTGAAGATATTTCTACAATATACGACCCACTGGGGTGGGCTTGGACAAAAAGTGACCAAGGTAAAAAGATCCTTTCTTTGCCTTACGACTATTACATATTGTCATTGACAACATTAGCAAGAGAAACAGACAGCGTTGAGTTACGTGTGATTTCTAAACCTGCGGGCTGTTTTGGCCGATTATATGGCGACCATCAGCTAACATATGTGCTGAATATGCTGTCGGGAACTGCCAAAGCTGTATCATCCGATAGCTTTGTTTGTCATACATACAGTACTTTAATACGGTACAGATGTTTCCCAGTATATAACCCAGATAGTGGTTTTAGTGTGATTGTGCCAAATACAACATTGTCACTTATTCTAATGGCAATCTGGTTTGTATCACGTGTGCTCGTACTAATCACACCATTGCTGATAACATACTTACCAAATGACAGTACTAAAACAAGACCATATGACTCGGGCAGTGTATTAAGAAATAAATTTGATGTTCATGAAAATCATATAAATGATGTCCCTAAACCTGAGGAGCCTACCGAGGCAAATGTACTAAATCGGGCAGAAATAAATGAGGACGATTATATGAACTTTGACACTTCAACGCCACTGACTGCTCTATTGTTATCGGAAGCCCACTTGCTTTTGGCAAAACTAAATCAACGAGTCTTTCGCTTTATGTTTTTCTCTATTCTTCTTCCAGCTATTCTTATTTTTTCCTTGCTTTCATATTCATTACTACTCAAACACGAAGTAGTTCTTCAAAAACAAGCTCAAATCAAGACAGACTTTGTGCAAATATGCCTAAACCCAGACATTTTCCTTGTATGCCAAATGGTAGCTTATGTTGTTTCGTGTTTGATGTTTTCTCTTCCTGGTAACATAACTGATGTTGTTGACGAATCATTGATATTAATAGGTGACCTACAAAATAAAAGCAGTTGTTGTTTTATCTGTACAGCAATGAAACACACACCAAGTGAGGAAGTCACTGGTGTTCAGTTACTTTGTAAGAACATGTGGCGACACCTTAAGCATCTCTTTACTTTTAATTTCTGGAAATTATTGTACTCTGCCAGGCCATTTCTTTATAACAGATGGTTGCCTCACTTTTTCAGGACAGGTGAAATGCTTCCTATAGCAGGAATATGGCAAACTGAACCGGCTGGGGCCAATCACGATGATGCACCTTCATGGTGGGATATGATAATAGGTTATTCACTATTGTACCTTCTCCTCCTTATTTCCCCTTCATCGTTCGTTGCGTTATTTGCTATTACTTTTACGATAGTTATGGGTTCATGGTTCATAATATATCTTATTGCTCCATGTGTGATCATTTGTTCTATGATACCTATTGGCTATTTTAATTCTTGCTTGTATTTGCTTTATTCCCCTCGTTCTCTTGACCCAAAAATTCGGGAACAGCATCTACACTTGGCTTTGTTTCCCTGTTTGTTTCTGTATCAACATTCTATCTGCACTGTTTTTCATTCAAATGATGACATTTTCATGGCATTTCGTGTTGAAAATAGTTAGTTTTACATGCATGGGTTTGATTGTGGGACTCCCTTGTTACAAATCGTTCTTGGTCTACGCTCTTGGACTTTGCTATTACGTTATATGTTCGATTTGGAATTTGAATGACAAGTACATAAATTTGAAAGTGTTGCTCTTTAATGAATGCGAAAAACAACAAAAAGGCCTTGGTGATGCTCCAATACTCTTTATTAAAAACAAGAAAATGATACCAAAAGAACTCTACGAAATTGTGTGCAACAAGCATATTCCATTGAAGAAAACCATTTCATCGTCAATATTTCAACTTGGAAAGTGGATCGTTTTTCTCACATTTGTATTTGTATCGGTGGTTGCAGTCGGGAAGTGGACCAACATTCCATCAATTACAGAAGCTATCTTCATGTTCTGGATTACCACACTGCCAAAACTGATAAGCAAGTATAAACCTGCTGGTTGGTCTTCGTTCAAAAAGAAGGAAGATCTGTATTCAATAGAGGACATTGTTTCCCAGTATGTGAGAAAAACGTGCGTCGTAACATGGGAACCAACGAGGCTTAACTCATAGACCTTTTAGCTGGACATATGAACCTCATTGTAATGCACAGTATAAATATAAATGTCTGCACTTACAACGATAATCAGAGACAACAGTCAACTGACCAAAGTGCAAAGAATATAAACTATAATGACAACAAGTAGAATAAAAACAGTTTATGCAGTGGCGGACACTAGGGATGAGGCAGGGGTAGAAAAACCGCCCCGCACCCACCCCCAATAATATCTGCATGCCTTTGAATAATAGCAGAGTAATTGCATGACAAAATGTTACGATAATTTTTCAACCATGAAAGCATTCGTATGCCATAAATTAAGCTACTTATTGCATGAAATTTAAGGCAACAATTTCCAACAACAGGTGGTAATATGTTGACAACCTAATTCCCCCCGCCTCCCCCCTCACGATTTCGCAAAGTGTCCGCCACTATATGCGTGCAGTGTAGTAAAATATTGACATTGATTGATTAGCATAAATTAGGAAACAAACGAACACATGTTTCCATAACATTGAAAGTACGGGGATAAAAAAGACAAAGTTGAGATAGTATAGCGAACGTAGTTCAAGTAATAATTTTTTATATTAATGTAAATTTTTGAGAAAGTAAAGAATGATGTTCAATCAAGAGAAAATTACAACGCATGCAAGTGGGGATCCGCCTCGTGTTGTGAGGAAAGCAAGTAAAGAAAAAGTTCTGATCATGAATTATTAGTTTGCAATGTAGTATAATAACTTTTATGTTAATAATAAGTGAACCGTTCAAATCAAATCAAGTATAATGACATATACTAGAAATATATGCATGCAACAACCTCTCGCCATTATTTTCTTAAACATTGTTTCAACATGAAGTATTCACAATTACGGCAACACTGAACGCAGGCTCGCTCTGCTCGCGTCATCTATTTATTTATTTATTTATTTATTAACATTACAACCTTTTATACATTCGCAGTGCCGTAGGAAGCGCTTTTTGATTGGGGGGGGCTGAAAACGAGGGCCCAAGGCCCGAGTCAAACGTCGCAGACGCTATAAACTATAAGTGAAGTTTTTTAAATTCATAGAGTCTCAAAAATAACATTTCCTGGACTTTGGGGGGAGATTTGACAGGGTTTTGATGGTCAGAAAACGGCGTCATGGTCTTAGCTAGGATTTTAGATCTTGGGCGTGTTTCTAATGACCAGGGTGTGCACATGTGAATTACCTTGAATAGCAAAATGACGGTTTTTGTTATGCTCGCCAACAACAATGCCTGTGGTTGCTCTACGCTTTGCAACCAAACACAAGGCGAGCATACGCTCATATTGCGCACTGACATTAAAATATTAAGTTATTTCAGCAACTCTTGGGGGTATTTAAAAACCATTTTAACACCATACAGTTCCCATTATCCATCAAAACATTAAAACATCACAGATTCATTTTGCCAATTCAACAACAACAGTAGATTTTACAAACTTTCTTACGACGTAAATAGGAAGAAATTCTGTCTGTTGTAAGTAGCACCACCTTATTTAATGAACCTACACGGCCTTATATGAAAAGTGAAGCCGCGTTCATCTTATATAGCCGTGTTTTCCCACTTTTGGCCGCGATGACACGGCCAACACGGCCCTCTAGCTAAGACCCTGAACGGCGTTATAGTTTGTCGAAACTTACAATATTTTCAATACAAACGAGCTGGAAGCCTTTTTGCTACTCGCTATCTATATCTATCATCTATCGAGGAATATAGATAGCGAGTAGAGTAGCCTCGATTGCTCGAAGAAAGAAATGGCGCAAAGGCCCACAGGAATATCCAATGGGTGACGTTTATGCAATATACCACAGAGTAAGTACATACAGCTAGAGGTCTCACTTATGGGGCTAAACCGTCCGTAAGGTAGTTATTACAGCGCATAGTCTGGCGGCCAAGATCGCAAGTGCCCTAAAGAGAGCTCCTGAAATGTTATATTTCAATATGTTTCCAGGGGAGTGACAGCCTCTCTCTTTCCGACATTGCAAAGAATATGGACTGAAAAAATCCCTTACGCTAAATTAACCTGAAGTGAGACCTCGATCGGTATGTATACTTACTCTGTGACTATACTACAGTAGTGTCGGTGAATAGTGCAAGGATATATAGCCTCAATATTCTTATATAAAATTATGTTTGTAAGTGATCTTGCCAACATTGATATCTTCACGTTAGAAACATTCACTTATGTATCATTTATAAGATTATAAACCACAAATGTTACCTTAACCATCTGACTTTGTTATATTACCTGTTCAGAGCATGCAAAGGCATATTCGAATATTCCTGCAATGCATTACTTTTATAATAGCCGTACAGTCATCCATATTTTCATCTATATTTCGTTCCATAGTTTTAAGGGAATAATTTAAAAACACAACAAAGGATGAATTACGGCAAAACAATATTTTTTAACAATGCGTAATTCCCAAATTCCAAAATTTCGAACCTGCCGCCATTTAAAGCAGCCGTGAGCATAAGCCTGGGGAGGACAACAGTGTTTCCACTATTCTGACCGAAGCACAACTCTATCTCGTACCCAGAGCCATCGTTGACTGCAACTACAAGTGCATTAGGGACCGGTCATAAAGTAGAGGGGGGGGGGGGGGGGAAAAAGTTGGGGGTGGGTCACACTATTTTTCAACACGTCGAAAAGGGTGGGTCAGGAAAATTTATGCACTGCATTAGGGGTGGGTCAGGTAAATTATTCACGTCTCACAATTTAATAAATAGCAAATAAAAACTTTTGCGAAATCTCTTTAACCTATTAACTTTATATATTAAACAACAGGAATTCACATTTGTATACAGTACATTGGGAAGTGTTCTAGTTACCGTAGTCTACTCAATGTACTGTCATGCATTATGTTTGGACATAGTTGAATTATGTTCAAGAGTCGGGCGGCGTGTTACAACATTTCAATCTCGGACATTTTTCGGGGATTCTGACTAAACTAGTAAAGAATCGTGGTAAGCCAATGCTGCCAACGTACGCGCACCTATCTACATTACCGTACAGTACATTATCTACATGACGGGGGGGGTCACTAAGATTTCTGCTCTAATCTAGGGGTGGGCCACCTCAATTTATTGTCACAATTTGGGGGTGGGTCACTGTAAACCAGTCTTTAAAAAATCAATTTTCATAGCCCACCCCCCCCCCCTACTTTATGACCGGTCCCTTAATTCATAGGAAAATCTTCGAAATTTTTTTACTCGAAACACTGGTACACTATACAGATTTATGTTTCGGAAAAGATTGAGAGAATCTAAAACCTGGCCACAAAATTAAAAAATACAGTCTGGTTAGTTTCACGTCTCAAGAAGAATGATACAGTAATTTCCCAATTCACGAAGACAAATCTCAGTCCATTTCACTGAAATATAATTTTTCGATCGAACCGAAATTTCTATTGTTCAAATTCAAAAGATTTCTGTTTAGTTCCATCTGAGTACTTGTAAGACAAAAGAAAATTTCGATTCGGTCAAAAAATTTCGCCTAGTGGAAAACCGCCTTAAACTGCGCGTAGATTCATGGTTATATTTTTTATATCGGATAACTCAGTTCATAATTGTCTATCCCAATCTCTTTTTGGCCTAGTAATAATAATAGGGGATGGGGCGGACGACCCCCCCCCTCCCCCTCTCCAAATGTTTTTCCGAGTTTAGTTTTAGATTCGTTCGAAGAAAAATTAGGAAGGAAAATTGACTGCAGACAGTGTGGTGTATCTCGCGCGCATATGTAAAGCTCTATGTGACAATGTGTCCCACTGAAATAGTCAATACTGGATTCCCTTTATTACGTTAGCGTAGCGCTTTGCATTGTGGTTATAGTGGTATCACTGATAAACATAGCGACCTCGAATAAAAATATTTAATGTTTTCGCGAATATTTTGCTGTTGGCTATCGCGCACCTGACCCTAGCTTTTTTATTTTAGTTTTTTTAAAAGTTCTTGCACGGGTCGGGACAGAAAATAAGCCATCTTGAATATCAGTGATACCACCATGACCACAATGGAAAGCGTTACGAAAACGTAACAAGGGGAATCATCAATTGTCAAGTATATGTTTTCTGAAATCAATATAAAAAAAAATTATATTACAAGTTCCTAGAGTAAACACTTTAACATTTCAGAACAGTTATTACTGCAGATCACCCAGGACTTTTAACTGTTTACCATCACACTTACGGCAGTCAAATCTCTCAATCAGTCAATTTAAATGCGGCCTATTTAAATATTACCAAAAGCTTGTTGAAGAGGACTACGACATTGATGTGCCACAAACGTTTAAAACGGTGTGTGTATAAAGTGGCATTTGTGTCGTCCCTTGTCCAGTCTTTCTGTCAAACTGTGTTGTCATTAGTTGCTGTTAACCCAGTGGAAATATCACTTTTTAGTGAGCATGTTAAATTTAAATTAAATTCCTTTTTTCGATCCACATGACTAGAATTGCTCAGGACCACATTAAATCAAACGTCTCAGAGATTAGCGATTTTGAAGCGATATATCCACTGTGTTAACCTATATTTCAGTATTGCATTAGCAGGTCACCCGTAAAGGAGCAACTAGCTCTGTGGGTTAAACCGGTCATGTGACAAAGATTGTAAAATAAAATAAAAATAAGATAATAGTTCACACTGTTAAAAAAAGAGATTTATTAAGACATTTACATTATTCTCCACAACGCTAGCCTGTGTCACAAACCTTACAATTGTAATTGCTACCACAATGCAAAAAATGCCGTTTCAGATACCCAAAATTCAATGTTTCCCCGGACACCCCCTAGAATTGTGACTTACAAATTATCAAGTTACCCCCTCCCCCTAAATATAAAATCCTGGCGGCGCCACTGTAATAAGAGAGGGGAAGTTGTAAGATGGGAAAACGTGGGGTAACTGAAGAAAACCTGTGGTGTTTAAAAGGAGTTACACATGAAAGGGCTGTTCTCACATGTCACTGGGGCGGAACTGTAGGACATAAAGACAACTACCTGCAGAAATCAAACCTCAATCGCAGACAAGGGCGTCAATCATGGGGGATGGGAGGACGCACTCCCTCCACTATTTGGGTTGGAGATAAATACATAATTACTCCCTTCACTTTTTGCCGTATTTTGCTTTCTGTACAACACACGATACATGGTTAATAGTTATTCAGTACCAATTGTTGTCGAACTTGCAGCATTTTGAAATTGGAATTTTAATTTTCAAAACCCCCCGATCTTCTCCATGGGTATAACAATGTCTAGAAGCGCCCTATCCCAGAAAGACTCTGTTTCAATTGAACAATAAAGACTGTTATAAATTTTGCCATAAATAATTGTTGTGACAATACCACAAAATTTAAGGGTGCACATGCTTCCAGGTCTGCCAGGAATGGATTGTCGCCCTTGATGGTAGAGGTATAAAAGGCAAGAGCGAGAATGCATTCCGAAAAGTGGAAGGAGGGAGGCGCCCACAGACGAACTTTATTACACATTATACAGGAAAAAGTGAAATAGATATGTTCTAGATTTTTACACAGCTAATTTTTGTGGGCATCGAAGATTAATCTAACTATCTAAGGGAATAATTTTGACACTAAGATAATTAATAAAATTGATCTAGTAGAACCAAAATCATGCGTCAGTTGTGTAAAGTTTTAACAGGTTTGATGGCCCCTTAAATTTAAGCATGGCTAAAATTGGATATACTAGCTAGAACATTTTTAATAATCTTAGTGTCAAAATTCATCTCTTCCATTAAATTTTCGATGCTTTCTAATTATAGCTACAGCTGTGTAAAAATTTGAAACACAGCTATTCTGGACATCCTGTATTGTAAATGATCAAAAACGTATAGGCTCGCGTTCACCCGTCCCGCAGGATTTATGCTCTTAGACTATGTGCACACGGTAACGTTTTCGAGCGTTTTCAGCTGTAACGTTTTCAAAGAGTGTCGTTTTCAAGCCGTGTCCACACGAAAACGGATGAAAACGTCATCTTATGACGAAAACGTTCTCAATGCTAAAAACGTTTTCGGACAAGCGTTTTCACGTTGAAACGCAAAAAATCCAAGATGGCGGCTTAAAATCAAAATGTTATATTTTTGTTTCCTGGAAGCTTAGATCTTTCATTGGATCATTAATTCTTAAGTTAAAAACTTTAGCAACAAATAAAACAAAATGTATAGCCTTTCAAATGTATAATGATTTATGAACGATTTAAAATGCGGTTTGCTTTCGAAGAAGCGACAGACTTCGTATCGGTGATGCTAAACAGTACATATAAAACTGTTTACTTTATGATAATGAGCAGAGAACATTTTAAGAAACTCGTTGACAAGTAATGACTTTATCTGGTGGAAAATGAATGGTGATAACAAGCCGCTAGAGATGGAATTTTTATCGAGACAAACATTTGCATCTCGTGAAAACGTTTCCGTGTGGACAGAGCGTCAAACTGACAAAATTGGAAACGACGTTTTAGAAACGCTCGGAAACGTTACCGTGTGCACATAGTCTAAAACACGAGGTCAGGAGCGAAGCAAAGACACATTTTTGTATAAATACTGGCCTTATCATATTCAAGTTTTTTGAGAAAGGGAGATGGTTTAATAGAGGTATGTCAATTCGCGTGATTTTTTCTTTTCTTTTACCTAAGGCTAAGCTCAAATTATTCACAGCGAATTTCGACTGTTAGCAGTTATATAAATACGTTTGTAAAACGAGTAGTATAGTCATATATATTAAAGAATGCACTTATGGCTATTGTCGTAGGTTCCCAGCGCAGCGCCGCCAATTCATTCAACTTTAAATATACTTCATGTAATATATCAGTATTGTGATTGACGTAATTCATGTTAAATCGTAAATAAGTCTTTGTATGTGTAAATTGATACGTCACAGTGACAC